ATAATCACAAATTTAGGGAATAAATGGAGGCCCTTAAACAATAGTGGTGCTAATTCCAGTATATTACAGATGTAATAATATTACACTAAAAGTAACAAAAGGATACTCTTTCTCTTGTCACCTTTCAACATTAAGAGAATTGAGATATCATATTAAATACTTAGAATTTATTTTTCAACCAAGTAACCCTTCCTTTCTCCCTCCCTCCCTTCCCTCTTTCCTTTCTTTCTTTCCTTCTTCTTTCCTTCTCTCTTTCTTTTTTAAAAATTAAATTTAAGAAAAGAGAATCTGACTTATTCCCATTTGGATAAAACTCTTCATTTCCGGTGATCTTATAGGCTACTGACCAGACTTTGTATTGGCCTCCTTTGGATTAAGTGCCATCTGTTATGGCTGAGGTGGAGTAGGAGAGAGCTCATGAAGAAAATATCATGACTATTTGGTGCTGTTCCCTTACCGGAGTCTCTGGATGAGGAAGAATCCCTTCAAGGAATTGTGCATACAGAAGATAACATGGTTAACACGTCTAGTTCACTGTTATAAAGTGGCTACCACCACTGCATCCTGTTTCACCATGGGGTAGGGAGAGATGAAACTCTGGTCAAAAATCACATGGTAGCCAAAGAAAGAAAGAATTTGGCTAGACTCATGAGTTCATAGAAATAAAGCTAAGTACATGAATAAATAAACACATTTAAGAAATAAAAGGAAAAGGAAATAGGCTTATGGCGGAGAGTTTGTCTACCTTTGTGCCTCTTACCTGGCTCCTCATTCCTCATCTTCCTGACACTCTCCTAGGAGCTGTTAGCTCCCACCCTCCTAGAGATGCTTTCTCATTCCAGGGAGCTGTCTGAGGACATTTCTCATTTCCTGTTATGAAAAGTGAAAGCAGTTTAGCTTTTTGTATATTTTTATCTATAGAATCTTGTATAACATTTGGACAACTGAGAACAATATGTCTCATTTTGTAATTAGGCTGATCTTTAGTTATCTTAAAAAATGTACAAGCTCAGAGCAAAATTCAGTTAAACATTGGGTATATTAGATGCTATTGTTAAGTGTGTAGCTTTAATACTAGCATGACTCATGAAATATAACTCCTTTTATTAATGGCAAACAGCACCAGATGTTAGACTGTGGTCCTTGAGTTTGGCTAAGAAAGATTCAGAGCCAAGAACTCAAATATAACCAAAAGTTTATTTTAAAAGTCACGAAGGTAGAAGAAGTGAGCCAGCTGGGCTGTGTGGACTCAGGAAACAAGTTACAGAAGCAAAAGAAGGGCCCTTCTTTTGGAGAGGGAAAGGTAAAGAAAACAACGCTGGGGGAAGGAGAGAGGAAAAGGTGCAGGCATGCTCCAGAGAGTAAAGAAAGAAGGAAAGAAGGGAGTGGGAAAAGGCGTGGGCATGCTCAAGCACCCACATTGGGTCCTTTGTCTTAAGGGGTTTTATCTGCTTTCCAAAGGCAGGGATTTTAGGGGAGATCCCTTCTTTTGGAGAGGGAAAGGTAAAGAAAACAACGCTGGGGGAAGGAGAGAGGAAAAGGTGCAGGCATGCTCCAGAGAGTAAAGAAAGAAGGAAAGAAGGGAGTGGGAAAAGGCATGGGCATGCTCAAGCACCCACATTGGGTCCTTTGTCTTAAGGGGTTTTATCTGTTTTCCAAAGGCAGGGATTTTAGGGGAGAGATCAGGGGAGGATTTCAATAGAATATTCATCAGCTTTCCAGGTGTGTCCTTCAGGGTTGTGGTCTTTACTGATTAGTCAGCGCTGGGATAGAGGGTCATTAGTCATTGCATCTGGTCCTGATGTCAGCCACAGACATTGCTTCATCTGGTTTTGCTGCTCTTCTGGGCCTAGAGCTGAAATATAACTGTGGCCTAAATGTTATCTCTAGTTTGACCAAAACTCTGTATCTGTGGTCAACAGATCTGAGGCTTTGTTCTTCAGATTATTCGATTCCAGCCAGAACCTCATTGTCTTGAGGGCTTAATGCTTAAGGAAGTGGTCATGCCAGGGCTTGTATGGGAGTGGCATGAGGCTGTTCTCCAGCCCCCTTGTTCCTCCTCTAAGGGGTTCTACTACATGATTAGCACTACGGCAGGGGAGGGAAGGTCAGGGGAGGGTCTAAACCATGAGACAAGTGATATGAAAGGTCGGGGGGGTGTGGTGGCGGTGTCTAAACTGAATGACCAACAGTATGCTCAGTTTTGCCAGTTGCTAAGCAGCTGGGGCTTTCTGCTCTGGTTACTCTGTACCTGGCCCATCCTTCCTACTCTGCTCACGTCTGTCTAACTGCCTACTGTATCACTTTTGCTGATTTGTCTTGGTGGTCTATAGTGTTTGAAAATATTAATAAGAATGAGGACAGCCTGCATTCAGACAACTATAGCATATAAAGTAAATAGAAGGGCAGGTTACTCAATTATTTTTTTAAAATATATGTTTTTATTGATTTTAGAAAGAGGAAGGGAAAGGGAGAGAGAAATAGAAACATAAATGATGAGAGAATCATTGATCGCTGCTTCCTGCACACCCCCTACTGGGGATCAAGCCCACAACCCCGGTTTTCTTTCTGGTGCATGGACACTCAACCAACTGAGTCACACCAGCCGTGCACACCCCCTACTGGGGATCGAGCCCACAACCCCGGTTTTCTTTCTGGTGCATGGGCAGACACTCAACCAACTGAGTCACACCAGCCAGGCTCAATTCTTGATACATCTAACTAGCAAAACAACATGATTTCACCTTACCATCATGATTGGTAAAATCATTTAATTTCTCCAGATTCAGTTTTCTTATCTGTAGAAATGGGAAAAAAATACCTACTTCATAAATTGCTATAGAATTATCTGAAGCATTTGGAAGTAGTTGGCACAACGTCTGGCATATATTAGCTCAATGAAATTCCTTTGTATCTTCCTCCACCTCCACCCCCTTTACCCTTTCTCACTGCCACTTCTCTGACCTCTATCTAATGGCCTAATCAAAGAAGTGCTCCCAGATGATAGGCCTTTTCCTTTGTCCTCTTCTTTCATAATTATGTTACTTCCTTGTTAAGAATATGCTTACATGTAACTTATACATAACACAAAGTCTTTGTCTTTAAATTTGTTTTCTTACTTTTTCCAGTCTTCTCTCTAGTTCCCAAGAGGCTTCTCTACTTAAACATTTTACTTTTAAGTTTAACATCTCAAAAGCTGCTTAAATCATTTTCTTATTTTTCAAATAGACTCTTCTAATTTCCCCATTGTCTAACCAAAGCATAATTTCCTTCTCTAATTCATTAATTCAAGTTGATATGCCTTCAGTGATTAGTCCTGAATAACTCTATTCATTCCATTACTTTATATCTGAAACTTTAAAAATTTATCTTCAGTTTGCAGTATATTAATTCAAAGTTTTTGATACTTTTAAACTATAATTTATTTCAGGTTTTTGAGTTATAGTTTGCCTAAAATCTTAAGAGGTTCTTTAAAAAGGAACTTTATCCTGTTCTTTTATATACTTCGAAATCTGGGTGTAGATTGATTCACTGATTGTTGACTAGAGCTATACAAATAAGCTCCAAAGTATGTCTTTATTTCTTTCTTCCTGTCCTTTCTTTCTGCTTCCTTCATTTTGCTTACAGAAAAAAATCCTGAGGATATAGGATATTTGTGGAGAGCAGCTACAGCGTTTGGACAGGTTTAAGCCTTGGACTAATGAGAGGGCACCATCCTCTCGTGTGATTCACTGATTGTTGACTAGAGCTATACAAATAAGCTCCAAAGTATGTCTTTATTTCTTTCTTCCTGTCCTTTCTTTCTGCTTCCTTCATTTTGCTTACAGAAAAAAATCCTGAGGATATAGGATATTTGTGGAGAGCGGCTACAGCGTTTGGACAGGTTTAAGCCTCGGACTAATGAGAGGGCACCGTCCTCTCGTGCACGTGTAGGTCCCAGCTTGGAGGGCGAAGCCCTCCCAGCACGACTGTATAGCCAAAGGCTGTGGTTCTAAGCTTGACCTTATGGTTCGAACCTGTGGTCCCACGTGGCTGAGTGATGTAGGCTGCGGGAGGTGCAGCAAGTGCTGCCAAAACAAAGCTTGATGGAGTTCTCAGGTGGATGTAATTAAGTGATTTGAAACTGTGAGAACATTGTAAACATCTTGACCACGCCCCTGCTTTGCCTCATGGGATCTGACTATAAAATAAAGACTTGGCTTACAGGTTGTGTCACTGTCTCTCCATTTGAGAACAGTGTCCCACCTGGCCCCAGCTATATTCTCTTGTCTGTTTTCTTTAATCCTTCACCGCCCTTCTCAGGTTCACCACTGGCCATGCTGGATGCAGTTCAGATATTACCTATTTTTTTATCTTTGGGTAATAATGATAAGATTATACTTAATTTTGGTTCTATTATTTGGAATTTCTGCTACTAAGTTCATTTTTTAATTGAGGTATAATTGACATATAACATTTGTTATTAATTTCTTAGGCAGCTTTACAAAACCCCTTTTGATGAACTTGTGAACAGGCTCTTTCATTTGTCTTAGCTCATTCATGGAGTGTTATGACAATGGAATTAGATAAACTGTGTGGATGTGGGCCAGTTTTTTGATAATTACAAACAGATTATGTCTTAGGGCATTTTGTGTTAGCATCAATGAACTAGAACCAACTTTTGAAAAAGTTTAGCAAAATTTAACAAATCCGTTGCTGGATACCAGCCTTTTATAAAAGATGCTTCTCTTTATTCTATAGTTTGCTACCGTTTTAGTTGATAATAACAAATCATTCAAATAACACTCAAAGTGTTTAAGAATATGAATAAGAATTTATTTAATAAATATTTAAAACTTATTAAAACGATTAATTTTTTTAAGAAATAAATTAGTAAGGATTGCATTAATATTGATGAGGAATCTGTCAGTTGGGGTACAAGACAACCCAGAACCTGGGTTTAGTGGTTTGGCTTATATGGGTTTACTTTTCATAGCATGTTTTCACTTTTCCCCTTTCAGGGTCTCAAAGGATATCCAGGCCTCCCAGGACTCCGAGGTGAACAAGTGAGTACTTCCTTTGTAAAATGGTATCTTTCCCAGTGAGAAAGACACCCAGTAGAGAACTTCATTGAGAGATTTTCCCCCCATTTACTATTCCAATTTTCTAATTATTTTCCCTCTGTTTAGTATAAGAACAATTTTTAATTGATTATCTATTTTAATTTTGTTTTTTGCATAGTCCAGTCTGACTTCCAGTGCCTAATATCTTCCAGAGCAGCAGTTCTTAAACTTTTGTGGTTCACAAGCCCCTTTGAGAATCTCACAAATGCTATGAATCCTTTTCTCAGAAAATACACTTATCCATGTACTACATGCACACCCCCACGCTCATCCATGCTCATACACATACACCCACACACACGCCCGACTTATTTCATACAATTTCAGGGACTTGTCCCTTCACTAACGTCAATCCTTGCATGAGGGATGCAAATGAATTTTAATAACCTAAATCAGATGTCACATATGCTGCTGTCCATTACATACATAAGTACATATTTAAAAGTCAAAATACTGTTGTTTTGGAATTACAGTATCTAGTTTTTAATTATGCCTTCTCTCTCCCACCAGAAAATATTATATCATTACGTCATTTAAAACTGTCCTATTTCTTGTTTTCAATACAGTGTGTAGTAGCCCAGTGACAAGGGTAGGAGATTAGAAACCAACTAGGGTGGCAGGTACTATTATTGGAGATCCAGCAGAGGGCCTCAGGAAGCCCTAAAGCAGTGGTTCTCAACCTTCCTAATGCCGCGACCCTTTAATACAGCTCCTCATGTTGTGGTGACCCCCAACCATAAAATTATTTTCGTTGCTACTTCATAACTGTAACTTTGCTACTGTTATGAATCGTAATGTAAATATCTGATATGCAGGATGTATTTTCATTGTTACAAACTGAACATAATTAAAGCATAGTGATTCATCACAAAAACAATATGTAATTATATATGTGTTTTCCGATGGTCTTAGGTGACCCCTGTGAAAGGGTCGTTCGACCCCCAAAGGGGTCACGACCCACAGGTTGAGAACCGCTTCCCTAAAGGGAGCTCAAGAAAGAAATGTGATGGGGACTGTCACTTGAGAAAAAGATATAAATGAAGATACAAAGGCAACTTTCTATTCCATATGTGTTAAGTGGGACAGTACACAATATTCAGTCCCTGAAGCACAATTTTCCAAGATTACTAGTTACTAGACATGGCAAGCAAAACATAACACATTTCAGTTTCCAAAAGATTAAACAATTACTGGAAATCATTTTAATTTTTATGGGTAAAAATCACAAGGGTGGGAGGAAATATGGAGGGGAAAAAATCCCCAGAATACTGCTTTGGCAGAAATGTGTGTATCTCAATGAAGAAAACCTAATATTTCACAAGAAAATGAAAAATTGATCTTGTGTCAGTACTGGCCAGTTCTCTCATAGCTTCTTTATAACCTAGTTCTGTTTGTGTGCATATTATTGTTCTGCGAGTGTTATGCTTTTAAAAAGAGTCTAAAATCACTTGTAAAGGTTGGAAAATGTATTTGGAGTCAGTTCTTACTTTCTATTCTAATTATTTCCAGAAATAAAGGCAAAATTTGATAATTGTGAGGAACAACTAAAATCATGTTGCATTTTAACTATGAACATGCTGCAGTCATTAAGCAGAGCATAACTAATTTGCTGGGAGATATTCATTTATGGAAAATTTATAAGTATCTATAAATTGGTCAGAAAACATTTGGAAAAGTATTTATATAATCTGTGCAAGCTCTAGTAATAAGAGCTGTCATTTATTGAGTTTTCATTAGTGGCCAAACTGTACTACCTGTCAACGACAATTTGTAGTAGTATAGTGATTTATTGAATATTTCCATATGTTAACTAATGTAATGTTCAGCATCACTAAGAATTATGGCAGTTACCTCCACTTTTAAATATATCCCTACACTTTATTCTGTTTTATCCACACAATAATCCTGTGACCTAGAGATGCACTAAGATGCAGGGAGGATCCACGGTGGTAGTGCTGGGACTCTCCATGGAGTCTGACCGACTCAGAGCATGTGCCTTAATGCTCAGGGCAAGAAGTGGGATTGGGGCAGGCTTCTTATTCCTAATTACCCCCCTGAGGCTATAAGGTATTATTTTATGCCTAAATTCCTCCATTCAATCTAAAGATTTAAGTAAGCCATTAAAAACAACAACATTTTTTTAAGTGCAAAGTGAATTGAGTTGTAGTGTTCGTTTTGAGTTTCTTTGGAGCTCCTGTGGTTGCGCAGTGATTTTAGGGTACGGTTGACTTAGCATGTATTTGTGCCATGTAAGACCAAGTTGAAGGCTTACTTGTTTACTTTATTTGCTGCTATTCCCGTACAGAGGAACTTAGCCATTGAGTGGAGTTGTTTTTTGTTTTTTTCTCTGTACAGCTGGAATGTGTTAGCTCTCTGCATGTAACTTTAACACATTCTATGAAAATCCATTCAAAATCAGATTTCACTTATGTCTTATAGCAGATTGCTTTTAACTGGGGTCAGTTAACCTGGTTAGGCTAGGAAAGGAATGAAAGAGATGGTGGGAAGTTGGCATTAGTCAGATAGTGACCTACAGAATAAAAACAGCATTTTTAATTTGTTTCACTCATTTCTATTGGCAGACCTAAATATAAGGTTTTATATGGGGCATAAACAAGCAGTTGTAAATAGACTGGAACAAATCTCTTAATTAGAGGGCTTTCCTTATAGTACTATTGGAAGTTATTTGCACTTCAAACCTATACTAGAAAGACACCCTTGAATGGTGGTCTTTGGAATTATATTTACTGATTTAAATCCTAACTTTTTACTTACTAGCTAAATGACTTCCCATTGGTGAGAAACACTTTATGTCTTATTTTTTTCATCTGTAAAATAGGGATAATAATATTTATCCTTATAGGGTTTGAGCAGATTAGGTAAATATATATATATATATTACTCGAAATATATAGTTCCTGGCATATGATAGGTACTCAATAAATGTTATAGAAATAAAATACCATGTATTATATGTAATATTAATAAGGTAATATCTAGTACATAAATATGGTTTCTAAAATACATAGGATATAATCTTTTCACTTGTAGACAAGAATTTTATTCTATAATTGTCAGAAGACCACTGTTTATTCATATTCTGTTAAATTGTCTGTTGTCATGTGTATATATATATATGTATATACATATCCTATATAATAAAACCCTAATATGCAAATTGACCTAATAGTGGAATGACTGGTTGCTATGACACGCACTGACGACCGGGGGCAGACGCTCAAATAAGAGCTACCCCCTGGTGGTCAGTGCGCTCCCACAAGGAGAGTGCCACTCAACCAGAAGCCGAACTCATGGCTGGTGAGTACAGTGGCGGTGGCGGGAGCCTCTCCCGCCTCCACTGCAGGCGGGCTGTAAGAAGTGAGGGGTCCCAAACTGCGACAGGGCTCAGGCAGGGCTGAGGGACCCCCCCCCTCCAGTGCACAAATGTCGTATACATACATAATCTGTATGTATATATGCATGTATTTATGTGTGTGGGTTTATACACATACCAAAACTTGTATCTGGGTTCACATTCAGGTTCTGCTACTTACTGTGGCATCTTGGGTAAGTTTCACAGCTTCCCTGTATGCTAGTTTTTTCATTGTAGAATGGAAATAGTATCTCTAAAGTACTTGGTATGGTGATTGCACATAAAAAAGTGCTTGGTAAATCATAATTGTTGGAGCAAGGTAAGGAAGGGAGAGAGGAGGGAATAAAATGAGACAGAATAAAATTGAGAAATGGATTCTTAGAGAAATTGAAAGAAAGATATATTGGAAGCCTACATGTCTAATAGAATGGGAGGGCAAACCTTTCAACTGTGATTTTCTATTCTTTGTGTTTTCTTTGGTCTTTTCTTTCTCTAGAGTTTTCGAGCTTCCGGAGTTTTATAGTGTTTCTATACTTAAAATAGAGGTAACTTCTATTTCAGGGCAAATGGGCAAAGGGCTAGTGTCTTTCATTATCTATTTTGCAAACAGCAAGCAAGAAATGAATTTTACATGATAAATGAGGAATCTGAATTTTACTCTTGCTGTCATCATATGAGGTAAAGGCAACTCAACACGCATTCTTCTGGCATTTCCTTGTTTCAAGAATTATTTGGTAGCCATAAACTCTGAATAAACTGATGAATGAATGAATGAATGAATGATGTATAAGTGAAAGAAAGTAAAAACAAGAATACGTTGACATTAGGAAAGTTGAAAAGGTTGGTGTTGAAATTCACACTTATTTAGTCTTGTGGGGCTTATGCTCAGACAGTTAAGATGAGTTCCCTTTTCATTTTGTTGATGGTTTCTTTTGCTGTGCAAAAGCTTTTTAGTTAGATATAGTCCCATTTGTTTATTTTTTCCTTTGTTTCTCTTGCCCAAGGAGATATATCGGGGTTATATGTGAACCCAAAAATATTACTACGAGAGATGTCTTAGATTTTATTGCCTATGACTGAGACAAGAAGGAATTCAATTTAAAAAGATAGTGGTTATTAAGAAATGTACCAACTCTTTCTCTATAATAAATGTCTTCTTTATTTATGTAGTACTGGATTTTTCCATCCTTCACTTATTATTATTAATGTGCAGTGTCTCATTTAGGTCCCTAATCTAACAGTTTTATTTATTTTTATTTAGCAATTTGGGCTCATTTTTATTTCAAACAGGTGATTTCAATCAGCATTTTTATAAGGAAAAATTTCTTTCCAAATTTGGGTATTATGAATGCATCACGTTTGTTCCCTTGGGCTTCTTTTGACTTTGTTGTGCTTTATTTTTCATTTCAGGGAATTCCAGGATTCACTGGAAATATTGGTTCACCTGGTTACCCTGGCAGGCAGGTGAGGTAACTATACTTATACTTCTCCTTTCTTGTTTGTCTTTATTAACATATTGTATGTTCTGATTTTGAGAATTAATGTTCAAATGATAATTGGTTTATTTTTTTAAATAATGAATTAATCAGAGCAAAATAATGTCAAAATCAAAACTGTAAAAATCCATCAAAAATTTAACTACAGAAAGTATTGTTAAAATGGGAGTGGGGTTTTAAGGCTGTTTGATGTGATATACTTTCAAAATTAAAATGCTCAAGGGTCTAATAAGATCTTAAAATAGCCCAGCTGCTGATTTTGCAATACTGCCACTGATGAAAATGAAGTAATAGTAAGAGTTAAGACTCTTCTGTATAATAAACATCATTTTTAAATAACGCAGTTATAAAAGCTTGGGATAATGTTGGCAGTGCTATATATGCCACTACCAAATACTTTTATCTGAACTAAATTTAATCTCTGTATACTGTTTTAAAATGCAGTCTAATCATTTTATATTTATTTTCCTCTAATTTCTTACTTTGTTACTTCATGTAGACTAATAGTGGAAAACATTTTCTTTCCTAGGTTTTTATGAATTGATTACTGACTCTTAAAATTAATTATTCATTCATTAATTATACACTTATCATAGCTTTTTTATTATCAAGAATGAGAGAAATAAAACTGCCAAAAATAATCAATTAACAAAATTTCATTTTTTCAGGCTTTAAAAGTACATGGAAGGTATTGCATATTAGAGTCTTACCACCAAGTGATGATTTATGTCATATGAAGAATATAAAATAAACTGGAAATACTCAAATATATGGACATTGAAGTTAAATATTTATTTATTTTTTAAAATTATAGGAATATATTTTAGATAAGCTAATTACAAGTGTTTTAAAAGAACATAGTTTTCCAATGAGAATAATTTAATGAAAAAATATTTATTTTTTATCTGATGTGTTAATTTACTTTATTTAGATACCTAAAATATATTTTTATATAGATTATATACAGTGCCTCTTTTGGTTCTGAAATTATAAAATTCCTTGAACATATATAGTCTGCATTAAGCATACAGAGTTTTATAATTGTGAAAATGACACCTCTTTATATGTCCTTCTTATTAATCTGTTTATAAACAACTCTAAAAAGTACTGCAGTCTGATGATGATATCTTTTATTCACACTAGGGTCTAGCTGGCCCAGAAGGTAATCTGGGTCCTAAAGGTGTACGAGTAAGTTACTATTTTCCTCTTTTTGTTAAGTATGCATGCATAATAGTAGAATGAAATATATAAAATACTTATCATTTTCACCCATTTTTTAGGAACTTTGAATGTAATGCAAGTTTAGCCTGAAAAGAATTATACTTGTTCAATAGATATTTTTTTTCTGTTAAGGCCACAGAAAGTAGTCTTATAGTAATAGGTTTTATATCATTTGTTGATAACTCTTACCTCATTTACATTATTTTGATAGCTCCTAAAAAAATACCTGGTGTGTTAGAATATGCTCTATAAACAGTTGTATTATTATTTATATGTAAGCATATATAGAGCTAAGAAATCATGAAAATGAAGAGGCAAAGAAATTCATATTAGTTTAAGGCTGAGATAATATGACATAAAACTATCTGGAGTAGAGAAATATCTGCAAAGGAGGAAATAAACTTATCATATCAAGAACATATCACTGCTCTTCCAAACCATTAAAGGAGTTATTAGCCACTTTTAATCATTAAGGGAGTAAAAAGAATTACTGTCATATGTTATGTAATATACTATAAATTAACACCAAGCTGGTTCTAGGAAATATTAGTAAAAGTATACTAAAATTTTATTTTAGAAATTCTCCATTTTATAGTCAGTTGTTTTCCAGCATCTATATCTGTTGCTTATATTATTTAAAATACTTTTTTGAAATAAATGCATGAAGTATTTGAACTTTTAAAATTCTTAAACATTTTCAAATACTTTCATATGTATTTTCTTCTTTTATTTTGCTATCAATCATATAAAGTAGGAGAACAGGTATATTATCTCCATTTTATAATTTAGAAAATAGTAAGCCAAAGAATTTATGTGATTTGGCAAAGTTACGAACTAGAACCAAAATCTTCTCACCTTAGCTACTCTTTCTGCGTATCCTGCGCTATCTCTACCCTTGCATTAAGTGAAAATATATTGGGGAAAAGTCATGCATTTTTTTATTGGAAGCTATACTAAAAGCACATGTTGTCTTGAATTCAGGAAACAAGAAGAGATTAGAGTTTAAGAACATGGGCTTTGGAGTTAGGTCTGCTTTCTTTGTTTGTCTTTTCCCCTTAACTTCTCATTCCCTGGATTTATGACTTTAGATATCATTCACCCCTTCTGTTTCATTTTTTAAAAATCTTATTAAATGCTGATAATGAAACTTACCTTTCAGGTATTTACAAAAACTACCTGAGCTTAATATTCTTAAAGCACATTACCTACTGCCTGCCTGCCTGATCGCCCCTAACCCCTCTGCCTGCCTGCCTGATCGCCCCTAACCACCTCTGTGTGCCTGCCTGGTTGCCTCTAACTGTTCCCATACCAGCCTGATCACCCCTAACTGCTCCCCTTCTGGCCTGATTGCCCCTAACCGCCTCTGCCTCGCCCCACATCCTGGACTCAGGATTCCCTCCTCCAGCCAGTCACAGGCACCCGGGACCCAGTCTTCCCTCCCTCTGCCTGGCTGCAGGCACCCAGAACCCGGGCCAGCTTCACCTGGGCTGGCCACAGCCACAGGGCACCGTGGGCAGGTGGCTTTGCCTGGGCCACAGCTGCAGGCACCTGGGACCGCTGGGTGGGTAGCTTGTCCCTCTCCCAGGCCAGAGGTCCAGGAACAGCCACGGGTGCCTGGGACCGCAGGGCGGGCGGCTTATCCCTCTCCTGGGCCGCAGCCCCAGCTGCTGGCACCCAGGACTGTGGGGTGGGTGGCTTGTCCCTCTCCTGGACTGCAGCCCCAGCCTCTGGTGCCCAGGACCGTGGGGCGTGCAGCTTGTCCCTCTCCTGGGCCGCAGATGCAGGTGCAGCTGCTGGCGCCTGGGACCGTGGGGCAGGCAGCTTGTCCCTATCCTGGGCCGCAGCCTGGCTGGTTCCCATTCCTCTCTCACGAGCTCATTTGAGCCTGGCTGATCCCCATTCCTCTCTCCCTAGTGTTGAGTGTCTGAGCCGTTATGGCATGATGGCTTGAGGGTGTGAGAGCATGACGACCATTTGCATATTAGCTTTTCATTGTATAGAATTATTGAACTTGGGAGTTTCTTCTGTGCATGAGCTAATAACTCCAAGACATGTTATTTGGCACTATGTGCTTTTCTCTAACTGCATTTTCTCATCTTGCTTCAGTGATTCCTATAACTCTTTTAAGTTCTTCTTCATGTCATTTTTGTATTGTATTATACATCCTTTTGTTGTTGCTTCTCTCCCCCTCCCCACCCCCGCCCTTTAGTATTTAGAATTATTGTCTACGTTGTAACCATTTTTAAGTTGTACTTTTAGGTTTGGATGGCCAGCTTCATAAAAGGATTTTTTTAAAATAGAATACAAATATAATATTTTCTGATTGAGTAATTTTTAAAATGTTCTTTTGGAAGAGTGGGAAGAATCAGGAGAGTCATTTGTCTAGGTGTCACATTCACAAATGGTCTCAAATGTAGATTTAAAAAAATCTTTATTGTTGAAAGTATTACATACGTCCCCTTTTTTCTCCCTCTGACTGCTTCCAGCCTGCCCCTGCCCCATTGTCTGTGTCCATGGGTTATGCATATATCTATGCATACAAGTTCTTTGGTTAATCACTTCCTACCCACCCACCCTCACTCACCTTCAAATGTAGATTTTTGACATTAAGACAAAATATAGCTAAAAAGACCGAAATAACAAAATCACACTGAGAAGTTAAAGGGAATATTTTTTATTTAATTTGTGTCCTATTACTGGATTATGCCACATGTAATCCACTTTAAATTAATATTTTTATAAGTCATGATAACTGATCTTTGGACTGGTACTGTTATTTGATTACATTAATTGTTGTTAAGATGATTTCTTTTTAAATGTAAGTGTTTAAAGCAGACCATCATTTGTAACCCTCATTTGGCCTTCCTTTGAGTATAGTATGCTGGCTGCCTCATGAAAGGAGATGTGTGTAGGGCCACTCCTGATATCTTAGTTACCCTGCTGGTGACCAAAATAGCCTCCAACTGGATATACAACCTTCAGCCCCAAAAGCAAAAACTTATGTGTTGTTGTTATTTTTTGTTATTTGTTTCATTACATACTAAACTCTAGCTTAGTAGTGTTATTTTGAGAATGACTACAAATGCCTGTATGATTTCTTTGGTGGGTGTTCCTGACATTTTACAATTCTGTTAGAATCAGCATAACATTTATCAAGAAACTTTTATGAAATTACTATGTAGTTATTCACAGCACTGTTCCCTTTAAAGTCTTTAATGTAAAATATTGTGCTTGTACCCTAAACGGGCTATGTCGAGTAGAGGGCTGACTTTTCAGCTTCCGAGTTCTCAATGATTAGTTCGCCAATATGTGTACACCAGTTAGCATGTCTCTTTCTTTTATTTATAAGCAAAACTCCAGCTGTATATATTAAGACAAAAGTTAGTTGTTTTTAAACTTGAAACCATCTGTAGCTAATGATTCTGAACATACATGCAGCTTGTCATCATAATCCTAAATGTTTAGAATTAGAAATAATTTCAGATGCTTCATTTTAAAAGAAACCTTCCTCATCCTCTAGATCAGAGGTTCTCAACCTGTGGGTCGCGACCCCTTTGGGGGTGGAACAACCCTTTCACAGGGGTCGCCTAAGACCATCAGAAAACACATATATAATTACATATTGTTTTTGTGATTAATCACTATGCTTTAATTATGTTCAATTTGTAACAATGAAAGTACATCCTGCATATCAGATATTTACATTACGATTCATAACAGTATCAAAGTTACAGTTATGAAGTAGCAACGAAAATAATTTTATGGTTGGGGGTCACCACAACATGAGGAACTGCATTAGGAAGGTTGAGAACCACTGCAGATGCTTGGCTTTCAAGGAAACAAATTTCTTATAAGGGTGTTTCACTTGTTAAAGTTAAGTAGCAAGAAACGAATTCTTTCTCTTTTATTTTATTTTTTGCTAGTTCATGTAATCCGTAGAGCATAGAGAATTTTAAAGGTGTTTTTTCTTGTCAAACGGAAGTGTTCCTCTTACTATGGCAACAGCTAAGTGGCTTTCACATTCAGGATAAATCCCTCCAGGCTACTTGGAAATGATTCCAGAGACATTTGCTTTTAAAAAGTGTGAGAGAATATATACAGAGGTGGGCAATAGTAGGTTTACAGATATTCATATGGAAAATCATACAATAATTAATAAACTTTGTGTTTTGTGTACTCACAACTATAAACCTACTTTCACCACCCTTGTATAACATCAAATTTGCCATATTAACCAACTTTAAATGTATAGCTTAGTGGTGTCTTAATTCATGCTACTATAATAAAAATACCCCAGACTAGATGGCTTAAACAATAAAGACTTATATCTCACAGTTTTGCAGTCTGGGAAGCTTAAGATCAAGGTGCTGGGGTCTGGTAAGGGCCCACCTCATGTCTTGTAGACAGCCACCTTCTCACTTTCTGCTCACATGGCCAAGAGACTAATCATCTCTCTCAAATATTTTCTTATAAGGGTACTAATCCCATTCATGAGGCTCTATCCTTTATGACCTAATTACCTTCCAAAGTCCCCACCTTCAAATACCACGATATTGGGGATTAGGCTTCAACATATGAACATTGAGGGGACACAAACATTCAGTTCATAGCAGGAGGTATTAAGTCCATTCAAATTGTTGTGCAGTCATCACCACCGTTCATCTCCAGAACTTTTTCATCCTCCCGAACTGAAACTCCAAACCCATTAAACAATAACTCCTCATTTTCTCTCTCCCCAAGACCCTGGCAGCCATTCTACTCTGTCTACCCATTTGACTACTCGATGTACTTCATTTACATGTAATCATACATTATCTGTCCTTTTGTGATTGGTTTATTTCATTTAGCATGATTATCTTCAAGGTTAATTCTCATTGTAGCATATGTCAGAATTTCCTTTTTAGGGCTGAATAATATTTCATTGTATGAATACACCACATTTTGTTTATCTAGTCATCTATTGAACATTTGTGTTTCTTCCCCCTTTTGACTTTTGTGAATAAAAAAACCTGAATCCTTTCTTAATATATATTATTATGGAAGAATTTACTCTGAAAAGTCACCCATCCTCTGATTCAAATAAGTAGCCTTCATTTAGAATTTAGTGAAAATGGTCCCTTGTATCTCTCCTTCAATTTTTTTTTATACCTTGGCTTTTCTCTGTATTTATAAAATCATTCTTCTTCTCCCATCTCCATTTCAGCGTTTCTCTCTGGTTCAGTGATTATTTTTTGCTTGTTTTCTTCTCAGAGCTCTAGTCTATCCTTAAGGCTTCTGACCCACCTGGCCTTCAAATAATATATCTCTCTATGAGCTTTCTATGAGTTTCACATTTCAATTCCCTGCCAAGATAATTCGATTTGAATGCCTCTCATCACCACAGACTCAAATGACTAACCAAACTCATCCCTTCTACCAAACTCACCTTTCCTGTTTGTTGTCTATAGAGACATATACAAAGACCTGTTGATACACTATAATCTTAGTGGATTTTATAAGCTGCAAATTTGATTATATAAAGACTATGCCTATTTTTTTAAATGGCCCACAGTAAATTCCAGACTTCCATCATTACTCTTTTTAACCCCACCTCTTGCCTGCCAACCACATAGAACTATTTGCAGTTTGATGAAAATGCAATATCATTTCATTCCTATTGATTGATTGAATGATTGATGGTATATTACTAGTCCTATCTGGAATGTCTTAAAGACTCAGCCAAAATGTTTCCTTCTCTGTAAAGCTGAATCTTTCCTCTAGACCAGTGGTTCTCAACCTTCTGGCCCTTTAAATACAGTTCCTCATGTTGTGACCCAACCATAAAATTATTTTCGTTGCTACTTCATAACTGTAATGTTGCTACTGTTATGAATCATAATGTAAATATCTGACATGCAGGATGGTCTAGGCGACCCCTGTGAAAGGGTCGTTCGACCACCAAAGGGGTCGCGACCCACAGGTTGAGAACCGCTGCTCTAGACCAAGTTGGTCATTCTGCCTCCAAAGTTCCCATTGCATATTACATTTATCATATCACGTATCACATACTCACAAAATAATTCTCAGATGATATTACAATTATTTATTTGTTTGACCCTTGTTCCTAATAAACTCTGAACTTCTTGAGGGCACTGATTCTCTTATTCACCTTTATAATCCTTGTTCCTCACACACAATGGGCACTAAAATAATGTTTTGTGAATCAGTGAACCAGACTGATAGTCCTTCAAATTTGACTGTTGAAAGAGCCTTCTAACAGATTTTCCTACCATCAGTATTTCCTGTCTTAAAAGTATTCTGTATCTTGTCAACAGATTCATATTTTGAAAAAACAACTTGAAATCAGGGGACTACCATAATTCCCCAAAGTCAGTTGCTCCCAGTCTAAAATATAGACTAAAATTCTTAGCCTAAAATTTAAGGTTCTCCTTAATATGGTCTCTTAACTACTATACATTTTGTCTATTAAATTGGTGAAACAAGTTATTTGCCACAGGTGAGATATGACTAAAGTATGTTAGGATAAAGTACCTCGCATAATTATTTATATGTCCTCCTTGTTTCTCAGACCATTGGAATCGTCCTGAGGGCACAATGGGTCTTGGCCCTTATTCAGAGCATCTTGCACATGAAATTCTGTCAGTTATCATTTAAAAACACTTTCTGATCTCTCTCTATTATATCCCTGTTCACTATAATTATTCTGGTTGGAGTGTTCTTTCTCCAGCCTCTGCTTATCAAGATTTTACCTACTCTGTGGGCCTATCTCCAGTGCCAGTCTCCTTTGAAACCTTCTTTGAGTGCCCTGACCTCCTGCCACTTTACAATGAATCTCGTCCTCCCCTGTGCGTCTTTTTTTGTCCTTGTTATAGTCTCTTGATACCTCCATCTTGCTTAAATTTTAATTGAATATATACATGTATTTTCTGTCCTCTATAAAATTCAATGAAGAAAAGGATTTGGTCATGTTGTGTGTTTTTTAAAATATATTTTTATTGATTTCAGAGAGAAAGGGAGAGGGAGAGAGAGAGAGAAATATCAATGATGACAGAGAATCATCGATCAGCTGCCTCCTGCTGGGGATCGATTCCCACAGCCTGAGCCCGAAACCTGGGCATGTGCCCTAATCGGGAATCAAACCCATAACCTCCTGGTTCATAGGTCAAAGCTCAACCACTCACCCACACTGGCTAGTGGATTTGGTCTTATTGATTTTTATTAGCTACCATGTCTTAAGTTATGTTCCCTACTTTTTTTCTTTAATGAAAAGATTGATCTATACCTTATGGAAGAAAAGCAATAAGGTAAGGGAAACATTCATAGTGTTAAGCTGTATAATTTCACATTGCTGTGAAGAAATTCAAGGATCTCTATTTGGAATTACAAGGTGAATGTCTAAATGAAATAATATAGGTTGTTTTTTCACTTTAAGGGTTTCATTGGTTCTCCTGGGGAAGCAGGACAGCTGGGGCCTGAAGGAGAGAGAGTGAGTACGTTTTACATTACCTTTAGAGTGATGCGCATGTGGTGATGTACAGCAGAGTCAAAGACTGCTCTGTCAGGCAGGTCATCCTACTGAGAGATACACATATGGTGATGTACAGCAGGGTCATGGACTCCTGTGTCAGGCAGGTCATCCTACTGAGTAATATACATATGGTCATACACAATGGAGTCATGAACTCCTGTGTCAGGCACATCATCTTACTAAGTGAAGCAAGCCAGCTTTAAAATAAATTACCTACCAGAAATATAATTAAATTCTCTTAAATGTTACCAAATTTTGTTTTGAGAAAGTAAATGGTACAAATATATATGGCTAGCTATTTTTAATTCAGTTAAAAAAACACAAATTGAAATATTAAATATCTAATCATGAAAATTTTATTTTGTAATTCATTACTCTTTAATTCAAGTATAAACTCTTAGCAGGTCTTGTATTTTATAATGCATTAGGCAGCAAATAATTCAGAAGATATATTTTTTTGTTTAGTTTAATAATGAAAGATACCTATCCATAAATGTAGGTACTTATAAATAAAGATTGAATATTTGCAAAATAATGTTATACTTTTAAAAAGTAATCAGATATGTAGAAAGGCCTGGCATTCCAACTTCATCTTATCTAGTTTTAGGTGCCATAGCAGTTTATTGATTTCTATTTGCATACCTTCATTTACATTGTTAATATTAATTTAAAAAGTAAAATTAAATAATATCAGCATAACATAAGGTTTGAAAGCAAAGAAAGTCATATTCAAAATTTAGCATTTAACTCTATTATTATAAGAATGCTATTGAAGCCAAAATTGTCCTTTCTGGAAACAAGTGAAAGTAAACCAGATCATTCTTTGCTAGATGAGTTTTCAAATTTATAGTTTTTCAACTGGGTGAATTAAATTGCATTTTCTTGTTATTACTTGTGAATGCCCTTCCAGAGAAGAAATATTCAGAATTTAAACGTGCTGTAAAGGCAATCAAAATGTTCATTCTTCTTTGGTGAGATGAGGTGAGGATTTACCCTTGGAAAACATACAGGTCACTTGTTTCACTTGTAAAAAATATCTTCAGCATGATCCCAACTAAGCTACTTACCTGCCGTGTGATACAGCAGTCTTGTAGATGATGTTTCCAATCCATCATGCAAACAACTGAGCTGCTTCTCATTTACCGAAGAGGTATATACAGTTCACATTGTTAATTACTCTGCTGCTCATGATACAATTCTTTCTTGACCTTTTGGCATGAACTTATTTCTAGTAATTGATGTAGTAAATAAGCCAAAGTTATAAGTCATTGCAAAATGTTACCATCTTAGATTTAAGGATCCTAGTGTTGACACTGACCTTCAATAGGCACACTGCCTGCAATCATATGCACTAATTTTGACCAGTCTGTATAAAAATATTAAGACCCTTGCAAATCATAAATATAAGATCATTGTGAGATAGTGTGCCTATCATGGTACAATGTCCTAATATCATTTGGCTACTTAAAATTCTGATTAAAACCATAAATGATGTACCTAGTGAGGTGTCATTATGTTATAAAACATTTAAGTAGAGAAAAGCAGAAAAAAATAATGTAGTGCTAATCACTCCTGAAAACAAATGGAAAGAAACAGTTCTTTCTTGAATTTAATAATATATATAATATTTATTTATGAAAAATATATTTATTTATAAAAAATGCTTATATAATTCTCTCTGCACTATCCTGAGATTTAGTGAAGCTACTAAAATTTTAGAAAATATCTGATTAAAAAAATAAGGTTGATGGTAGTCTATAAAGATGCATAAAGTACCAATGAAATTAATCATAATACTCACCTATAAACTCTCTTTCAAAGGAGACATTAGATAAGTATTTCTCAGACACTGTTGAGTTGAAAATAGATGGATTGCTTTAACCAATTATATCTTCAAACTTATCTTTATACTAGAGGCCTGGTGCACGAAATTCGTGCACAGGAGTGTGTGTGTCCCTCAGCCCAGCCTGCACCCTCTCCAATCTGGGACCTCTCACGGGATGTCTGACTGCCTGTTTAGGCCCGATCTGCCTAATGAACAAAATAAATGGGCAGTCGGACATTCCTCTCAATATCCAGGAATGCTGGCTCCCAACTGCTCACCTGCCTGCCTGCCTGATTGCCCCTAACAGCTTCTACATGGCAGCCTGATCACCCCCTAACCACTCCCCTGCCAGCCTGATCAACACCTAACTGCTCCCCTGATGGCTCAATTGACCCTAACTGCCCTGCCCTGTCGGGCTGGTCACCCCTAACTGCTCTCTCCTGCCAGCCTGATTGCCCCTAACTGCCCTCCCCAGCTGGCCTGGTTGCCCCCGAATGCCCTCCCCTGTTGGCCCGGTCCCCCTAACTTCCCTCCCTTGCCAGCCTGTTTGCCCCTAACTGACTTCCCATGCCAGCCCGGTCACCCCTAACTGCCCTCCCCTGCTGGTCTGATTGCCCACAACTGCCCTCCCCTGCAGGCCATCTTGTGTCCACATGGGAGCGGCCATCTTTAACCACATGGGGGCAGCCATCTTGTGTTGGAATGATGGTCAATTTGCATATTACCTCTTTATCAGATAGGATACTATTAATCCCAAGTTACATGGTTCTGACAGATTTCTTAGTTTCTAAGGCTTATCCTATCTAATAGAAGAGTAATATGCAAATTGACTATCACCCCAACACACAAGATGGCCACCACAAGATGGCTGGCAGGGGAGGGCAGTTGTGGTTGATCAGGCCTGCAAGGGAGGATAGTTGGGAGCAACCAGGCCTGCAGGGGAGGGCAGTTGGTGGGGACCAGGCCTGCAGGTGAGGGCAGTTGTGAGGGACCAGCCCTGCAGGGGAGGGCAGTTGGGGGCAACCAGGCCTGCAGGAGAGGACAGATACGGGTGACCTGGTGGACAGGGGAGGGCAGTTAGGGGCAATCGGGCTGGCAGGGGAGCAGTTAGGCGTTGATCAGGCTGGCAGGGGTGTAGTTAGGGGGTGATCAGGCTGTCAGGGTGGGGCAGTTAGGGGCAATCAGGCAGGCAGGCAGGCGAGCAGTTGGGGGCCAGCAGTCATGGATTGTGAGAGGGGTCCCAGATTGGAGAGGGAGCAGGCTAGGCTGAGGGGCACACACACCCCTTGCACGAATTTCATTCACTGGGCCTCTAGTAAGTTGTTATAAGTCTCAAAGTGATTATATCAGGGTGCTTTGGAATGCAAGTTAAAGAAAACCCCAACTCAAACTGGCTTTAAAAAGGAGGACATTTTTAATAATGATAATAAGGATAATTACAAATTATTTATTGAATGTTTATGCTAGTACATATGCAAGGCCCTGTAAAAATACTGCTTATTAATTAATTCATAATACCCAGTGAGATAGGGACTATTATTATTCTTACTATAGATGAAGAAAATGAGGCACAGAGAGAATGACTATATATTAAGATCAGAGCCAGGATTTGAACATAGATATTCTGGCTCCAAAGACTCAGTGCTTAAGAACTATGCCCTGCTGTTTCTTACATGACCAGAAATCCACAGGTTAGGTGGGATCCAGGCACAGTATGATTTTGAGCCCAATGATGTCATCATCCTTCTCCCTGCTTTGCCTTTCAATGAGGTCATCATCCTTCCCCCTGCTTTGCCTTGCCTAATGTTGGCTTTATCCTAAGGCTTATCTCCCATGTGATTGCTAGATTGACAGTGTACAGGCTAAATGTGCCCTTGTGTATGTCAAGCCAGTGAGACATGGGGACAGAGGGGAGGTAATTGGCCCTTGGGCATGGAAAATAAGACCTCCCTGTTGTCTGGTTGTGTCAAGTTTGATTGTATGCCTACCTGTGGACAAATAACTATCACCAGAGAAATGTCGGGATTCCATTTGGAGGTACAGATGGGATGGATTCCTGAAGGTGAAGAAAAGGGTCTGCTTCAGTTACGTTAATATATTGAAGCGTTTCTGAATATCTCACCAATTTAAAAAACACTTTATTTCTATCTTTGGCATATTTCATTAATGTTTGAGAAGAAGTGTCTAGCTCAATCATTTATTCAACAAATATTTATTTTTTATATATTTTTTTATATTCTAGGGTGTTCCTGGGATTCGTGGAAAGAAGGGTCTTAAGGGAAGACAGGTAGTTCAATTCTTGTTTCCCGAGGTTCAGTTAGAGCAATATAATCTAATTATGTGTATGTTTCTCACCTATTAAAATATGAATGTGGTTAATCTCATCCACAATCCATGTCATTCAACAGAATTTAATTTTTGCCACAATCTAGCAAGTACTACCTGAGAATGTGAAGGAAAATTTAGATTAAAAGTAATTTAAAAATTAGCACTTCTAACCCATTTAATGTACCTTTTCCCCCATAACAAGGGGCTAATATGTCACAGAAAATACATGAACAATTTAAAACACTGATGATAATACTATTCACTCTCATGGTTTAGAGGTTTTTTACAGGCCTGCTTCAGATGTTAGCTGAGAAACTACTTTGTTATAGCTTGTTATATTTTCAGGTTAAAAAAAAATCAATGAAGGTGAATTTTTCCAGATAATGTAATACTTCTGAGAGATGGGTGGACATTTTGACATCATCCAATACCCTATTTAACCAATGAAAAAGCTGTGTGTGGTTCAGGGGAGCATCTTCAGGTTACCCTGGCTGAGTCAGTACAGCTAATCCACCACCTGCTTTTCACATGTGCTGTTATCCAAAGATAATGACTAGGGTGGGACATTCTGTGCTACACTGTTCTCTAGTCTATGAGGAAGAAAATTGCTTTTCATGATACCTTTTCTAAACTTTGGTGTATATAAATAAAACCTTGATGATAATGCTAAAGAATTACATATCTCACCAGAATATTTATATTATTTTAAAGCATTTTATCCTTTGACCTTTGCAATAGTTCTTAAAGGTAGATGTTAAAAGACTTGCTCAGAATCACATAGTTAAAATTGGTAAAATCAAGAATTGAGCCCAGCTCCTCTGAATACAAATCCAGGACCCTTTTTCTTACTTCTTAGTTATTTCTGCTGACTGTCTTCTACTCATTGCTTAGAAGAGCATTATTTATTTTTTCCCGTCTTTTAGACAAAATATGATAAAAATTATTTTAAAGTTTCACTTTAAAGACTTTAATGTATTAAGATTGAACTTACCAAACTGTCAAAGTATAAAAAATAAGCCAAACATTTTTTTCTTGCACTTACATTCAACTTTAAGACTAGCCTTGTAGCAACAACTGAACTGTTACCATTCCCATCATTACCACTGATTATTCTCAAGCCCTGTGCTAAATATTTTGTATGCCGTCTAATTTAATTACACTCTACTTTACTTCAAAATGTTAAAATGTAATTTCTTTGTTTTACCCCTCAAACACAAATACTTCTCCATTTATTATGTGTTAAATATTTAAATTAAATGTGCAAATGTAGGCTGTCTCAAAATTGACAGTAGGTTAAGTTTATCTTCATTATTCTTGTATTCTCCATTCTGTGCTTAATTTTTTCCCATTCTTCTCTTATCAAAGTATGCTGTCAGTAGAAGAACAAATTAAGTTATTTATGCCACTATATAAATTAGTTCCAGTGTTTAAAATGTTACCTTACCTATTAGCAATTATATTTTAAACATATTTTAAGACAAAATAAATAATCTGCAATGGTGGAATTTTAGGGATTGGTGAAAAAATATTTTCTTAGAGCTCCTCTGATATGTCAGTTCAGTAGCTCCCAACTTTACTAATGTGGCTGGTCGTATATAAATATTAAATTTATCTTGGCAATATATAGGTAATATCTAGTTTGCTACTCCACAATGAACTATAAAATTATTTATGGAAATTTATAGATAAGGTCTGGGTTTCTTACACCAGGGAGAATTATAAAATTATCCAACACATGCTATCTATTTCAAAAGGGTAGTTCAAGAAAAACTGGAAAACCAGTACTGGGTTCTTTGATTATACTCTTCTTTATATTACAAAATCTGTAAAATTTTATTAATTTAAAAATGTATGCTTTTGTAATAGATGTAGATCCTTAGAAAAATTATATTTGAAGGACACATGTATCCTATTTTTTCGTAAATAGTGTTTATAATAGAAAATTTGTCTGATGCTGTAATATATCATGTATAGTATATATACTTTTTCTTGTCTTTGCCACAAAATGATTTGGCCGTGTTTATGAGGAAATTGCTGTGCTTAGAATAAGATACAGTTCTAGCTGCAAGGAAATTATGCCAAGGCTGACCTCACAGATTCTTACAGAATATTATCCTATGTGTAAGGCTCCCTTATGTTCTGTTCATTTTAAGTAAAATCATCTTCAGATAGCTTTGATATTATGTAAGGGCAAACATATTAGCATGGGGTAGTATGCATCATGAGGCACTTGTACTTGTCAGTTTAGGTGATTAAAATCCCATGAGAAGAATGGTCTCATTGCTGTTTAAGTAACAGTAAAAAGAAAATATCTTTTGATATGTCCACTCTCTATGATGTGGAAAATGTTAGTTGTGTGGAATTTAAATACGGCCATTTTCTCTTGGTAATCTATTAAATCATGTATGCTATTTGTTGTTATCGGTAAAGTAGACATTCAAATACAGAAGCAGAACTAAAGGATTCCAGGCCTCCATAAAAATGCTGACAGAAATCCATGCATCTGAAAGAATATTGCAGTAACCTAGAAAGGTTGAAATCTGAAAGTACCTATATCGAAGACACTTTTGGCTATACAAATGTCATACTGTTACCTCCAGTTTTCTGCTATATCAGAACTATTTATAACTGTGGGCTGATGCCTCATTAGGCAGCTACTGCTCTGTGGATCCCACATTATTTAATTTACTATCATCAGTATGAATAGTATGAAAAGATGTATTTTATTTTCATTATTACTCCCCTTTAACCGAATTAGTCTTTTTGTATTTCAAATAAGCTTGTTTCCTCAAATTGTAGGTAAGTAGAAGTATCAGTCTTATGAACATAGAATATTATGATTCAGTTTTAAGTAATTATTGTTACGTAATTTGTAGAATAACCGTAGCTCTTTATAGATAACTTTTTAAGTTTTATGTAACATTTTACACTTAGATTTTTGAAGTTTCTGAAATTAAGGCCAGAAACTGATAAAATAGTTTACTTCTCTTTCTGCATTATGTGTACTACGAAACACCTGACAGTCAATATAGTGAAGGTAATAGGCATAGAAAACTTCCAAGTCCAAGTTCAGGTCTTTCTAAATGTAATCAAGGTGAGCTTTTTTGGAATACTGAGTTGGTTTCTAACTTGTGTACTAAAGATCTATGTTTGATATTAATAATTTACAAAGTATTTAAATGTATACATATTGATATTATCCTATCTAATAAAGATGGAATATGCAAATTGATCATCACACCATCACAAAGATGGCAGTGCCCATAGCCACAAGATGGTGGTGCCCAGTCCCATCAGCCCCTCCAGAGTCCCCCAGTCCTTTCAGCCCTGCCAGGGGTTGCAGGCACATGGTGCGACTGAACCTGCCCTCAGCCCCCCAGCCGCGGGCAAGCCTTGAATGTCAGCTGCCCAGCCGCCCAGGGTGGGTCCAAGGTGCAGGCAAGCCTCAGATGGTGGTTGCCTAGCTGCCTAGGGCTGCCAGAGGCTCAGGTAACCAGGGCTGGCTGAGGCCTGCACTGGTGGCAGTGGCAGCAGCAAAGGTGTGATAGGGGCATCGCCTTCCCCTGATCGCTGGGTCGCCTCCTGCCCCTGAGGGCTCCTGGACTGTGAGCAAGCTGGGCTGAGGTACCCCCCCCCCAATAGTGAATGAATTTTCATGCACCAGGCCTCTAGTGTTAGATATAACATAATTATAGAGGAGTGGTGAAAATCCTGTTTATAGCTGTTCAAGAGTTAGTAATATTGCTAAGCTTCGGTTTTGAAAGATGTTGCTATAAATCATATACTCATATAGCTGGCCAAATGGTCACTTATTTTCCTGAGTAAACATTAAGCATGGAATTAAGTAGTTGTGAGCCAACTTCCTAGTGATGTCTGTATTTTTTAAAATAAAATTATAGGTTCACAAGTAAGAGATATCTTCTCTTAGACAGTAGAAATATTATATGAATGCTATTGAAAATGGATACATTATAAATAACATATTATTTTGGTTATTCAAGAGTTATTTATTATTTAGCCTCATACTGGTATTTTTAAATTTAATGTTTGTGTTAAAAGTTGTTTCACATTAAATTTTACTTCCCAGAAAACTCTTTTTTCCCCAAAAAATAAAACATTGTGCTTATTCAGTGTTTAGGAATTGAGTTGATATTTGTAACAAAATCTGTTTTTGTTTTCAACAGGAAGAGTAGGAAAACTGGCTTTGTTAGGAATTTGGTTTATTTTGGGAAGAAAGAGTATATAAAAATAATTATATTAGCAAATTCATTTGTTCCTTGGTCTTAGATTGTTGGTATTTGAGAATTTTTCTTGCTTGTATTATAAGCTATTTATGATTTCAAGATCTTAGTATAAAGTACTTACTAATCACTATATGTTTAAAACCTCATGTAATCAGTTATATATTAGTCAATAATGTGTACTCATGCTTTTGGATATAAGATATAGTTCCTATCTCTTCCTCTCCTCCCCTCCTACATGCTCTACATTGGATCAAAATCTTTACGGTCAGTTAATACCAGAGGACAGCCATAGGGTTCTAGATGCATTCAGTAGAACCAGTCTTTGAAGATGAGGAAGCCCAAGACACTGCTAATTCATTCTTTTCACTGTCTGTGAAAAGAACTCAAATCCTTTCTCCAGAGATCTATCAAAATATGGTAGTAGACAATCTTTATTGGCCAGGCCTCTTTTTTTTAATCTTCACCTGAGGACATGCCTTTTGTTTTTTTGGTTTTTTTTTTTAATTGAGTTTAAGAAGAGCCGAAGGAAGAGGGAGAGAGAAACATTAACATGAGAGTGAAACATCCATCAGTTGCCACTCGTACTCCCCCTCCTGGGGATTGAACCTGAAACCTGAGTTTGTGCCCTGACCAAGAGCCGACAATCTTTATTGGCCAGGCCTCTTTTTTTTAATCTTCACCTGAGGACATGCCTTTTGTTTTTTTGGTTTTTTTT